CCGGTCGGGGCGGGAGAGGCTGCCAGTACGCACGCGCCCACTCCGGGTCCTTCCACCACGGCCAACCCCACGTCGGTGGGGTCTTGTGGGGGCGGGGCGGTCCCTCTGTGACGTCACTGCCGCAATTTAATCCGCCAGTGGGGTGTGCGCACCTTTATAGAGTGTGATTCCCCTCTCAGCTCCACCTCCAGACCACACCGAAGCGGGCCGCTGTGCGCCCAAGCGCATGGGCAGTCCGTAACTCTTCCTCAACCCGCGTCTTTTCGCTCGCGTAGAGTCGTCTCCAGCCTCTGCGTCACTAAGCGGTCGGGATAGGGGGCGGGGCCAATGGAGAAGTAAGCGGGGCCAAGACGGAGTAAAGGGCTGTGCCCCGGAGAAGGGAGGACAGTCTCCATCCCAGGAGGGAGGAAGCGCCTGTGTGAGAGCAGGGGCTGACTTCTGAATTTTAACCACGTTATAGTTAAACTTGAGAAACACAGAAAGTTGCCTAAATCAAATGTAGATCACAGACGGGCGCCGTGGCTCATACCTGTAATCCCACCATTTTCTTAGGCGAATCGGGAGGCTCCGTTTAGCCCAGGAGGCCGGGGCAGCAGTGAGCCGGGATTGTGCCACTGCACGCCAGCCTAGACAACATATCGAAAAAAATGTGGCCGGGCGCGGCGGCTCACGCCTTTAATCCCAGCACTTTGGGAGGTCGAGGCGGGTCGATCACCTGAGGTCGGGAGTTCGAGACCAGCCTGAGCAACGTGGTGAAACTCCGTCTCTACTAAAAATACAAAAATTAGCCGGGCGTGGTGGCGGGCGCCTGTACTCCCAGCTACTCGGGAGGCTGAGGCAGGAGAATCGCTTGAACCCGGAAGGCGAAGGTTGTAGTGAGCCGAGATAGTGCCATTGCACTACAGCCTGGGAGAAAAGAGCGAAACTCCATCTCAAAAGAAGAAATCCTTTTGTGTTTGTTTTGAGACGGAGTTTTGCTCTGTTGCCCAGGCTGGAGTGCAGTGGCGCGATCTCGGCTCACTGCAACCTCTGCCTCCCGGGTTCAAGCAATTATCCTGCCTCAGCCTCCTGAGTAGCTGGGATTACAGACATCCGCCTCCACACGCCCGACTATTTTTTGTATTTTTAGTAGAGACTGACTTTCACCACTTTGGCCAGGCTGGTCTCCAACTCCCCACCTCAGGTGATCAACCCGCCTCGACCTCCCAAAGAGCTGGAATTACAGGTGTGAGCCACCACGCCGGTCCCCCTACCGCCCCCCGCAAAAACACATACACAAACTATAAATCACAAGAGGCTACAGAGCAATGAGTCTATGAAATCCCATCCAGCCCCCCAGGCGTCCCGTCCGCATGATTTAGTCAGTGGCTACCCTGACTTTGATGCTTTTCCAGATGGGGAAACTGAACCTCAACAGTGGGGAATCCCCAGGAGGGAAGGAAGCGGCTCCGTGTGGGGAGAATCCTGTCTGAGGGAAACAGGGTCTGTGTGGGGAGGGGAACCCTGTCTGAGGAGGGAAGCGGGTCTGTGTGGGAAGAATCCTATCTGAGGAGGGCAGCAGGGTCCGTGTGAGGAAAATCCTGTCTGAGGAGGGAAGTAGGGTCTGTGTGAGGAGAATCCTGTCAGTAGGGTCTGTGTGGGGAGGGGAACCTTGTCTGAGTGAGGAGGGAAACAGGGTCTGTGTGGAGATAATCCTGTCTGAGGAGGGAAGTAGGGTCTGTGTGAGGAGAATCCTGTCAGCAGGGTCTGTGTGGGGAGGGGAACCTTGTCTGAATGAGGAGGGAAGCGGGGTGTGTGGGGGGAGAATCCTGTCTGAGGAGGGAAGCGGGGTGTGTGTGGGGAGAATCCTGTGTGAGAAGGGAAGCAAAGTGTGTGGGGGGAGAATCCTGTGTGAGGAGGGGTGTGTGTGGGGAGAAGCCTGTCTGAGGAGGGAAGCAAAGTGTGTGGGGGGAGAATCCTGTCTGAGGGAAGCGGGGTCTGTGTGGGGAGAACCCTGTCTGAGGAGGGTAACGGGGTCTGTGTGGGGAGAATCCTGTCTGAGGAGGGAAGCAGAGTGTGTCGGGGGAGAATCCTGTCTGAGGGAAGCGGGGTCTGTATGGGGAGAATACTGTCTGAGGAGGGAAGCGAGGTCTGTATGGGGAGAAGCCTGTCTGAGGAGGGAAGTGGGGTGTGTGGGGGGAGAATCCTGTCTGAGGAGGGAAGCGGGGT